GTTGGCTGGAAAAATGTAGGCTACAGCCAATTGGAGCTGGCCTGTGGCATGCTGGGCTTTGAGAATGCAAAAAGAAAGACAAAGAAAAAAAGAAAAAACACTTTCCTCATCGGCCCCTCTCTAGTGCCTAATGTCCCTTTAGGTTTTCATTCCTTTGGGTTAAATATTGACCTTTGCTCATTTAAAAGGTGAGTGACTAATACATTTAATCATTAAACTTAATGATTTTGCCAGTCCGCTGAAAGTCAAAACCTTCCCAAATAAAGACCGAGATAAACCTTCTAGTTCAACCAGCCAGAACCATCCCCCCAAAAGGTCTTGTTCCCACCACTGGATCCTGTACAACCTTCTCTCAACCCCCAGAACCCTCTCCACCCACTTAACCCGATCCTGCCCATCATTCAAAGCCCAGCTCAGTGCTGCCTTCTCCCTGGCCTGCTATGAATTACATGTATCATGTATCACTCCTCTCACTTGTCTGATCTGGATTAGGGGGTCTGACGATTTATGTCAAGTCCTGCTCTGCTATTTAATAGTTAGGTGGTCTTGGACAAGTCGCAATCCACGTGAGCCCTGGTTTCCGTATCAGTGAACAGGAATGTTCTAGGGGTTAACTGAGACACAATCCAAGTGTTTATGGTCTGTCTCCCCTCCAGAAAGTAAAGTGCACCCAGGGGGGAACTTGGTCTATTTTGTTTTCTCTGTTCCTCCAGCCCTAGAACAGCGTCAGGCACATGCCAGCTACTCAATAAATAGTTTAAAACCAATGAGTGAATAACAGTCGACATTTATTGAGTGCTAAGTAGGTTCAGAAACTCTTCTGAACTTTTTACATGTTTTGTTTCATGGGATATAAGGAACTAACATAATAAAATGCCAGATATTTTTAGATTGCAAGTGCCTCAAGGGCAAATAACGTGCTTATGTTCAGACCCGGCACTCAGTATTAGTGGCAAGATTGACTGAGGAGAGAATGCTTGAATCAGAATTAATTTGCCAGACGGCCTTCCACTATAACCTAATGGACGAAGCAGCCGACACCATACAGTCCTGAGACCACGGGTTTTATCTGGGGGAGGGAATGAGTGAGTATAAAATCTTCCTGCTTCGTAAATCTGTCCATGACTGACCGGTTAGCCTTTGGCCTTAGTTTCCCACAGACCTTGGTCCCGCCTGGGTACCTGCTTTGGTGCTGGTGTCAGGAAGCAGCACAAAGATTAGGTCTTCTGGGGGAGACCACTTCTCTAATCAGAAGTCTGGAAATGGGACAGGCTGCGGGGACTGGGTCCTGATCTCCAAGGCTAGTCCAGAACCTGGGTCTTGATATCTCCCAGGAATCAAGAATGAAAACGCCAACTGCCAGGACACACGAGCAGCTCTTGGGGGTTCTATGGAGAGACACCTGATGAACGTGTATGGAAGTTTCTCCCCATGGAATGTGAGAGGTAGGGGTGTGTTACTGGCCAGAGGAGGTCAGAATGCTCTTCGGGCTAATGGGTCTTCATCCCTAACAGGACATGTTTGGGTGGCGGTGGGGTTGTCCCTTTAGTTTTGTGATTAGATTTCTGGATAAAGAGCACTGGCTTGGGAATCCAAAGCAAAGAAAGAACAAGAAGGATTCAGCAGAGAGTTTGGGACCAAAAAAGGCCTTGGGAGTCCTGCTGCAGAACAGGTTGTCCCAGCTGCTTCCCAGCCTCAGTGGGGGCAGAGCCGTTCCATGCTTCCCTGGAGCTTTCTTTACAGAAGGGTGGATAGGTTTCTATTTCTCCTCCAACCTGTTTGAACTGGTGGCTTCTCTCCTGTCTTGTGTCTGAGGACTCTGGGGAAGACATGGGAGACTGGAATACAAAGCCAGGGCCCGGAACGTTCCCAAGAAGCTTTGCTCTCCTGCTATCACGGGCAGACTCAAGGTTTTTGGGCTCACAAATGAATGAAACCTGGGATAGAAAAGGGTCTCACATACCTGGTCCCTAGAGATCTCATGATTAGGAACTGAAATTCCTAAGGGCCACTTCCAGGCAAGCCTCAGATGGTAGAAGTTTCTAGAAGAATAAATTGGGCTCACCCTATACCCAGTCTTTCAAGACCTTCCTTTTCTAGATCTTGAGAGCCAATATTCCTCAAATAGAGACAGTGGAATAATTCACTGAGCTACTATAGTTTCCTGTTCCCTATATCCCCTTTGCCGAACCCCAACCCTGTTTTTAGCAGTAACCAGACCCTTTAGGAGAAGAATTTTCAGGGGAGAAACAGAATGGATTGAAGTCAATGGTTTTAAACTCACTGAAGAGGTTTTACCAGATGTCCCAAGGAGGAGAGAGAAAATAGAGGAGACACCATCAGAATAAAAAGAAGAGCTTTTGCTTTCTCCCCCCACCCCCATTCTAGAAGGAAGCTAAAAATCTGTGAAACCCACCCCTCCTCCCTCCCAGGCATCACCCTAGGGGCAAAACCTCAGAAGAACATGGGGCCTGGCGATCATAGGTTGGTGGAGCCCAGTGCTGGGCTTGCAGACTCAGCCAGGAGTCCTGGGCCCCAGGTGGGCATGGAGCAGAGGGCCACCAACTTCAAGGGACCACAAGGCCTGAAGAAAGATGTCTGTGGGGGCTCCCATGAATTGATATTCATGTTCAGGGCGAACAAGAGCCTCTCAGGTTCTGCTAGTCCGTAACAACTGAGATAACTTCCCATCCTTTCTGTGGGATGGAGATTTGGAGTTGAATTTTAATTTGGTTTAAATAAATTAAATGTAACATTTCTGGCACACCTGTGTTGTGGGCTGATTCACACTCACTATATAAGGAAACAGCTCCTTGATTTTTGTTTTTCTCTCCTTCAGACATCATGATTCTAAGGACCCCAACAGGTTGGCTGGGGGTTGAATCAGAGGGCTGAGTAATTGGCCGGGTTGGGTGGGGAGGTGGAGCTCCAGGCTCTAGAAAGCCCCCTGCAGTGAGCTTTGAGCATCTCCTTCACCCACACCCCCTGGTGCCTGTGCTGTGGACTTGGAATCCTCACCGGGTCCCTGCTGGCCTGGAATGTTGTGCCCTCCGGGAGCAGCCAGGATGGGTGCCCGGGGTAACCTGCCAAGTGGGAACGCAGCTGAGTACATGAGGGTCTCACTCCACCTCCACTCTCACATTCCCAATAAATCAACAGCTATTGGTTTCTCAGATTTTTCTGTCTTAACCAACATGTCATTTCAGCACCAGGGACCAGCGGGAAGAGGAGAGGCCCGGGGCTCTTTTTTCTGGTCTTCAAATGTCTGATTTGACAACATCCAGGGCAGCCATTCTGCAGTCAGCAAGCTGCAGTGGGAAGAACAAAGGGACTGGCTAGGCTTCCAGGGCCCCAAATTGGGTAAGTTTCAGGAGCCACAAAGCCTGGGTCTGCCCATGAGAGGAGGCCCTAGAGGGTCCCTGCTCACGCCCAGGCCCACCCTGGGACCAGCCCCAGACAGTTGCCCATATTTGCCAGGATTTGCCCGGATTCTTGGCAGAGCTCTGCTGAGACCTTGAACAGAACTTTGCCTGCATTGCTTTTTACTTTCACAACACCTTGTGAAGTAGAGAGGAAAGTAAAAATTAATTAAGCCACCTAATCCAGAGCTGAAAGGAGGTTTAGAATTTCACCTGCCAGAAGTCATTGAGGGCTGGAGATGAAAGGACTACACAGTGTAATTTGCTTCCCTGAATCTCTCCCTCCTCTCCTGGTTGTCCCACAGCATGTTAGCATGGATGCCCTCCACCCAGATTTCCATGTGTCTGTGCAGGTAAATTCACTTATTAACATTTGTTGTATGTAACAGTGTGTCTGGAGCTGGGCAGGGTGCTGTACATAGACAATCTCATTTACTTCTTTCTCCCCAAATCCTATGAGGTAGGTGCCTTTATTATGCCCATTTCAGAGGTGGGAAAAACTGATGCTCAGAACATCTTTTCTCAAGAGCTGAGTTAGAGCAGAGCTAGACTCCTGAGTCTGATCCTATCAGATTTCTCTCTCTCCAGAGACATATATAAGTATGTGAAAAAATTTCATATGTATCCATCTTGCCACCTAATACTTGGGGGCAGAGACTGTATTGCATATCTGTTTAAAATCTCCAGATGCTATAGATAACATTCTATAAATTTTATAGATTTAAAAACACACACAATAAAACTGAGGCCCAGAATCATTGAGTGATTTGCACGAAGTCACACAGAAAGTTAAAAAAAAGCACTGGGTCTGGAATGACTGCCCTGAGACTCAGCTTGCAAAGGGTTATGGGATTGGGAGCATTACCTCTGGCTATCAGATGAATGAATTAATGAAAGAACAAGAAAGAATGGAAATATGAAGGGAAGGGAGTTTATGAATTAGCTGGCTTAAGACCATCCCAGTCAGATCTGGTAACAAAAGATGTCCACTGAGCTTCTAAGTGATGTAAGCTTAGCTTCCTGGTTCCCTCTATTCCAAGTCAATTGCCAGAATGATCCTCCTGACCTTTTGCCATTAATGTCTCCACTCTTGACCCCATTCTCCTGTTGAGGGAATTCTAGGGTGGTATTTACTATCTCTTCAAAAGGAATCAAAGGAAAACAAAACACAGTCATTCAAAAGGGTAAAGGCTTTTTTTTTTAATTCCTCCCTTCCCCCCTACCACCAGCAGCACTCTCAGGAGCACATGCATTCCCTCCACGCCCCCCCCTCCACTCCTCCCAAGCACTACTTGGAGAAGGTGTTCTCTGACTCAGATTGCTCTTCCCCCAAGGGCTTTACGGGAGCAAATATGAGGAAGAACAAGTGTGAAAATGCCGTGGGAGATATAGCTTGGGGTAGGTGAGAATTTTCTTCCCTAGAGATATGAATGGACTGCCCTCCTGAGAGCTCATAAGACGGGGGAGACAGGTTGGGGAGGGAGTCTGTGGGGAGAGGGTAGGCCAGAGGCCAAAATCAAGTGCCCCTTCCCATCCTTCCCCATGCCAGCCATGGGTGGCTGTTGTAACCTTGCTACTCACATCTGCTTCGTTCCAGAGCCCTGGGATGCAGAAGGACTCCAGCAAGTCACTGCCACACAGCAACAAGATCCGCAGCTCTGAAGAGAGAGACAAAGTTTGCAAAGGGAGCATGTGAAGACCGGGGAAGCATGCACCTCTCAGCCTTCTTCCCCGATGCACCCAGAAGTCTCTACCCTTGGGGCTCCAGACCCCAGTCTCCCAGGCGCCCCTGCACCATGGTGTGTGCGGTGTGGGAACCTTTGCTGTCCTCTCCCTCAGGCTCGTTCACAGACTATCCCCCAGGAAGAGTCTGGTTTGCTGGTACTGGGGGGTTTCTGGGGACACAGGTCTTTCCACACTAAACCAGGATGGTGCTCACTTTAACAGAAACGGCGCCAGCTACGTCCCTTGTCTAAGACCTCAGGGCCTCTCTCTGTTGCTTCACATCAAACTCAAGTGTCTTCTCTGCCGCCGTGCATCGTCTGGGTTTGTCTCCATAAAAAGTGCCGGCATCATGAGGCGCAGGGGGGACACTGGGGGTGCCCAGGCAGTAGCTGAGCTCATCAGGTGTCCTCTCCTTGCATGGCACTGTCCTCAGCAAAGGACTTGAGAAGCGATGCTGAGCACCCCTTTGTCTGACTCCCAGGCACACTCCCCGCTTGTCAGTTGTTTTTCTTCCCTCATTAAGCTCGCTCTGAATTAGCCCAGTGAGGCCCATCATGGTTTAAAGCAAGCAGCAAACTGACTCACTCATTAAAACGGAGCAATGGGGAATAACGAGTCCTGGGATTCTCAGAGCCACAGGGGAGAGACCTCTGCCCGGGGTGGGACTCAGGGTGGCGTGTTTAGTTCGGAGCCACCGCAGGCCTTCTGTCAAGAGGCCGTGGCTGTGGGCATTTTGTCTGAAATGGTGAGAATGCCCTACTCTGAGCCTTCCAGGGACTGCTGCCACCCCAGACCCTGAGGCTGAGATGGCCTTAGACCTCACAGCAAGCTCAGCGACCTGACAGGGACTTTCAGATCATGAGCCTGTCCCTGCTGCAGGAGTCTCCAGATGGTTCAGAGGAAGGCTGCTGGGGCTGACAGACAGGCCAGTATTTTATTGTCCCATGGGGTAGACTGTCCTCAGGGAGCCCTATGGAGCACTGGGATCTTAATTCCTAAATATTCCTGCCCTTCCACTCTCCCCTCCTCTGCATGCCATACTATAGCCTAATGATCTGTTTATGCACAGGGACCTTATTTTACCTTTATATTTCCAAGGCTGGACAGAGTGACCAGCACACAGTAGGTGCTCAGGATGTATGAAAAGTAAACAGCAGACCAGCTGACCACAGAGGCCATGCAGGAAGGCTAAGAGCCTCTGGGCAGTCTGGGCTCGCCCTCAAGGCCTTTGCTCTCATAGCATGGGGGTCTGGGGGGAGTGTCCCCTAGTCAACGGTGCCTCCCTCCCTCTATGCTATGCCATGGGATTGCTGGGCCGACTCCCCACCTGTGGAGATGAACCAGCCTTGGTATGGCTCAGAGGAGCCAGGCCAGGTCCACTGCTGGGATCTTACTGTTTCCCCTCCCCCACTAGGAGCCACCCAGATCCTCAGGTCAGTTTTCTGTTGAAAGGCTGAGGCTCTGTAACTTTAGACACCTAAGAGTTCAGTTAGGTGGCTGTGTCCAGAGGCTGTGCTGGCCCTCAGCTCTCCATCCATCAGTGGTTCACAACTGGGGGCAATTTTGTCTCCAGAGCTTGGCAAGGTCTGGAGACAGTTTTGGTTGTCAAGACTGGGGAGGGGGTGTGCTACTGGCTTCTTGTGCTTAGAGGTCAGGGATGCCGCCTGACGTTCTACACTGCACGTGACAGCCCCACAACACAGAATTATCTGTTCCGAATGTCAATAGTCCGTCCAGCTGAAAATTCCTGCTCTATGGCAGAGTATTCCCCAGCCAGAACCTCACTTTCCCACTTGAGTATAATGTTGGATTATTTTTGTTTAAAGCCAGAGCACCAAGAGTTAAAAAGTGGGGCCTCTACCTTCTCTTGCCAGACCAGAGCAGATGTATTTATCAATGACCAGAGAGACCCTCCGGGGCTTGAGAGCCCATGTGTGACCACTAGAGGGCAGCAGTGACTTCTCCCAGTTTACTGCATGAGGCTAAGGCGGGCCTTTCCAGCCCACCAAAGCCTTTGGTCTGGGGCAGCTCCCAGGAGGGGCCGTCAGCTGGTTAAGAACATGGAACCATCGATGCTAACTGAGCTAGGGAAAAAATGGCTTTTTTCTTCTCATGAAGTGTGCAAGGGGATTGCAAAAAGGGAATGTGTGAGCCAGAGGACTTCAGAGCACAGAGGTCTGGAGGCAGGACAGCTCCCTCCCACTTTCCTCGTTCACCCCATCTAAGGATCCAGGGCCCGCAGCCAGAGTCATTGCTCTCCAGGCACACTCCTCACCCAGGAATCTGTGCTATGTGAAGCCCAGGCCCTGCGGCCCTTCCCAGCTCCCACCGCACACAGAGGCAGCCACCACCTGTGCCAGGCCAGGGATCCATCCTGACCTCTGTGGCCACCTAGCTTTCCTTTCTCTGCAAGAAGAGTAAGTCAGTTGGGGCTAAGAGTAGCCCTGCCCCTCCCAGGGCTGCAGTGAGCGCTGGGCATAAGGCAGTGCCCTGTGCAAACCCCCTTGGCCTTGCCTCTCTGTAGGAGGGGGACCTCTCCAGGGCAGGGATGGTCGAATACCCTGGCGCTGGGTGTTGGGAAGGTAAATTAGGCCACAATAAGTTCTTTCTGGAACAAGGAACGAGAAGAATATACATTGGAATACAGTTAAATGTCCAAAGACTGCCCTGAGCTCTTCTGGTCAAGAAGACTTCCCGGAATGTAGCTCAGGCTCAGGCGCAGAACCTCGGGGAAGTGGGTGCAGGGCTTTCACTCCCATCCTGGCCTTTTGGGTGTTTGAGGCTGTGGAAGCTGGAGCCAAATGCTCCTGCCTGCTTTGGGGAGTGACCAGGAAGCCAGGTGCCACTTTTCGTGGCCCTCAGACAGTGCCGTGCCGGTAAATAAAGGATGTAAAATAATTAGGAAGTGGGGAGTTTTGAGTACTCATTATTTTTGTTTTTAATACACTTTACTTAACTGTTACTTGATATAATTTCATTTTCTTTGTATTGGCTGCATTTAACAACCGGTTCACAGAATTCCTGGAAATCTTACAAATGGTTCTCTCAAACCAGTAAGAGCTGAGTCGGGTGTACCTCAGATCAGAGGGCAAAAGCCAGAGAAGCCCCTGGAAATGATGTCACGTCTGCTGGGCCTCCTGGGAGAACCTGATGCTCAAGTACAGCTCACCTCCCAGGGTCACTGCAGGAGGCCGTGACCTCCAGCCCTCGACAGAGGACTACGGGGAGGGGGAGACCTGCAGGATCTTTGCAGCTAGACTTTTAAGACTGAGCATGTCTGCTGGATGCCAGGCTGCCCCTCACCCTAGAGATCCAGGCATCCTGTTGTCACTGACCCTCCTTGTCACCTGGTATCTGTGCCAACTCCACCTGCCTTGGGGAACCTGTCTGCTCTTTCCCCAGCTTCAGATATTTGCATCCCCCATTTGTGTCTCTCACCCCCTCTGGAATCTTGGAAAGATTTCAGTTCTCTGGTTTGCTTCCCGGGTTAGCCAGGACCTGGTTCCCTCCCTGGGGCGGGTGGGCTCCTCCCATCTGACAGCTCTGTGTAACCGCCCTCCACCTGCTCTGGCCTTGAGCCCACGCAGCCTTCACAGGGACAGCGGATGCCTTGGCCTCCGCCTGAGGCTGTGGGGAGGTTGTGGAGGTGGCTTTCGGCTCCCTCTCTGCTCCTCATCACCTAAGGGTCTTCTGCCTCCTGGGCAGTGTCGTGGGCAAAAGAGGGGTCTCTCTGGCTGGCACTGAAGTTCAATTCCCATGTCTCTGGATGAGGGAGAGGAGGCTCCAAGGGGAAAATTGCCAAGGGGTCCAGGCCTATCTCCTGGGAACTGGCGTGAGTGCGGTTAGGAGGTGTACAGGGGGATCACTGAGACTTTGGTCTCTGCTTGGGACTTTTCTGAGAGTAGACCAGGTAGCAAACACGACCCAGGGTTTTCAAGCCTCTCCCCTCCCCCCCTCTGCCCGTGGTGAAAGCAGGTGGCTCCCCACGCCCCCTCTTACCAATCTCCTCGTACCGCATCACCGTGCCCAGGTTGGCATTCTCATCTAAGAGGAGAGGGGAACAGAAGCATTAGGGCCCCAGCCTCCTGGTACCCCACGCACTGTCCACCTGGGCTCCTGGGGAAGAGTACACGGGAGGGGGACGGGAGGGGGAGTGTGCCTGACCCCCTGCACACAGGGCATCTGAGCAGAGTGAGCGGACCACACAGTCCAGCCTAAAACAGAGGGGCAGGCGGCGTGTTTCTGGGACTGTCAGAATTAGACAGCCTCGCCGGGGAGCCAGTGACGAACACACACACTCATGCCGAGCGCCTTCTGTTTCTTTCTGTATTTTAGGAAAGAGCCACGTCCTCAAAACCTAGGGAGACAGCTTTGAGTCAAAAGGAGGTGGCCCTCTCCCGAGGGGCTACCTGACTCAAAGGACAAGCAAAACTGAGCATTGGAGATTTTTCACGTGGCAGAACGCAGCGAGCCCAAGGAGGTGTAAGCGACAGAGCCTTTGACGTGTGCTCGCACGTGCAAGGCCTGCATGGAGATGCACGCTGCAGACAAAGCCACGGAGAGGCCACCTTGGTCCCCTGCCTCCCTTCCTCCTCGACCGTCCCTCTTAGTTCCTCTCAAGACGCCTGAAATTAGAAATCTCAGAAACGGCAAGCGTCACCCCCAAAGAGTGAAAGGAAAGAGGTCTAGACCTTCAGAGCTGCTGCAAAGTTGAATCTGGGGACTAGGAAAGAGCCCCCAGGACTCTGAAAGACAGTCTCATCCATGCTGAGTCCATGGGGAGCAGCCAAAATCCAGAGGGAATTAGGTGCTGGGGGTTGGGGGGGAGGTTTGCTGAATGAATGAATGAATGAATGAATGAATGAATGAAGGGAGGCGGGAAATAAAGGAGGGGGGGCTGGGAACCAAGATCCTTTCTCCTTACCCACAAAAGTGAAGCGCTCCACGGGCGGGCGGACACAGCAGATCCGGCTTAGGCTTTCTCCCACCTTCCCCAAGATCTTGGCTGTGGGAGAGAGCAAGACACACAGGGACAGAGGGAGAGAACCACTCACAACTGACACTCGGCCAGCCCGGCATCGGGCCGCTGTAAACAACAGGGTGCACTGGAGGGGCGGTGGAAGGAGGGCAGAGAGAAAGAACAGAAATATGACAGCGAAGATGCCTTCTCATTCACAGCCCGAGGCACACGCATATCGAGCCACGGGCTGGAATCTATTCTCCGGTCATGTTTATTACATGGTTGAAAAATCGGAAAATATATAAGAGACAGATAGATAAAGAGGAAAATAAAAAGCACTCAGTATCTCACCCTAGAGATAACCACCGAGGCATACTGGTATATTATTCATTTTCTTCCATTTTCTAAATGTGCATTATGCAGCTATGTCCCTGTAACATCAGTTGGATTATATCCTGTGTTTAAAGGGCATACTGGCTGTTTGCTGATTCACTTTTTAATATCATGAGCATTTACCCACCACTGAACACCAACACCCAGACCCAGGGAGACTGGGCCTGTGGCAGAGAATTCACTTGGGATAATTTCTGCTGGCCTAAGGCATTCTTTCCCATTCAGATAGTCTTTGGAACAATCAGACACCCTACTTTGGCCAAGAGGTATCTGGTTTTCAGCAATCTCTCTGGGCTCTAATCCAGGCTTTTTTTTTCTTTTTCTGAGCCCCACATGTAGCTGTATGTAAACTACGAGACTCTGTCTCTTCCCTGTTTATGATACACTAATGACATAATAGCTTATGGCCTCTAGGCTTGAAAAGTAATACCAGGATCTGTGTCTTGCAACTGCCTTGGAAGAAAATATTAGAAAGAACATAGACATTGGAATCAGAAAGTCCTGAATAGTAATTCTGGCTCTTCTACGTCTGAGCTGTGTTCTTAGGCAAACCACTTACCTTCTCTGAATCTCATGTAGATGGGAACATCATATCTCTATCACAGAATCACTGCGTTAAGTGAGAACCCGTGTAAAGTCCTGAGCAGGGTGCGGACATACAGTGCTAGGTGTTGGGTAGGTGTGGGGGCCCCCAGCTCTCTGTCACTGAAGAGGTGGGTGAGAGTGTGGGGTGCTGGATGCAGATGGCCTGGGTTTCACTGCTACCTCCTCACTGAGTTTGAGCAATGTCCTCAGTCCCCTTGGAAGGGGCAGAGAACAATGCTCCCCTTTGTATATTTAATTTCCACGGAGGCGATTATATTTATATTTAAATGCAGAAGAATGCACACCATCACTTCTGTCTCTCTCTAATCATGACCATTTCTCTCTGATCCTCTATCTTAAAGGTTGTCAATATTGAGAGACTAGAGCATCAGCATCACCTTGTTAAAAATGCAAATTCTCCTCCCCCTCCCAGACCTACTGAATCAAGCCTGGGCGGCACCGAGCAATCTGGATTTTAACAAGCCCTCCAGGTGATTCCGAAGTTTGAGAACCACTGTGTGCACCAGCGCTCCCCTACCTGCAGTGGGCTTGGTGGACACATTGTTCTGGTAAATTGGCTGGGAGTTCTCGTTTTGGGGCTGTCCGATCACGGGTGTCATGGAGGGTGTGTTGACGTTGGAAAGGATGCAGCCAGTCACCCGCTGGGGAAAGAGAGAAGTTCAGAGTCAGTGTCATCAGCCAAGTGACTTAGGAAAAGCGTTTCCTGGTCACCTCCAGATGCTCATGTGCCGTCCATCATGGCGAGGCCGCCTGGAGCCCAGGGAGAGCCCTGGGGTGGGTTCTAGATGCAGCTGCCCCACGTGGGACACTAGGCTGGCAGGAGGCAGGATGACTCTGTGGTGTTGCGTAGACCTAGGCTCAGGTTTGAGCTCTGTCCCCCTCTCTCTGTGTGACCTTGGATAGTTACTTAACTTCTCTTGACCCTCAGCTCAAGAGTCTAGCATAGACACCGGCCAGTGTGGCTCAGTGGATTGAGCACCATCACATGCACCAAGAAGTCGCTGGTTCGAGTCCCAGCAGGGCACATGTCCGGGTTGTGGGCTCGATCCCCAGCAGGGGGCGTACAGGAGGCAGCCGATCGACGTTTACGTTTCTCTCTCATTGATATTTCTATCTCCCTCTCCCTCTAAAAAAAATCAACAAAAACTTATCTTTTCAAAAAGAATCTAGCCTAGAGAGCCAACATTTCCAGGTTGTGCTAGGATTGTACCAGTGAGGATGTGCAGCGTCTGCAGAGTGTCTGGCGCGTGGCAGGAACTTGGTACACAGTAGCCGATGTTGCAACCTCTGGGTAACACCCATACCTGCCCTCCCTGCCTGCTTCATGGGGCTCAAATGAGGTCATGTCTGCACGAGGGCTGTGTAAGCTCAGGAAAGGTCATACAAACACCAGGCTCTATCACCATCTGCCGCCTCTCCAGGCTAGAAATGCCAAGGGCAGGGCCAAGTCCAGAGAGCGGTGCCAGGCAGAGCAGGAAGTGTGTGCCAGGGAGGGTGGGGTGGGTTCTGGGCGCTGCTGGCCAGTGTGAACACACATTCTAGCACCAAACGGAAACTCTACGGGCATGAGCCACTGTCCTGGGTTATCCTGCACTGCTGCTGTCCAGTGCCGCAGAAAACAGCAGATAAGGCAGCTGACCCAGAAGCACGCCCCTGTGCCTGCCGTGAGGGGACAGGGGCTACTGGGCAACAGGAACAAAGGATGGATATTCAATCTGTTTAGCTTCGCAAGGGCCACTGCTGATTCCAGGCCCCTTCCGTGAAAGCCAGCATCCCAGCCTCTGCCCACTGCCCTTTCTGGATTACCGAGTCCTGTTGCCAGAGGACCCCCAAGCTCCAGGGCTGGGGTGACCCTCTGAGGGCACCTCTCCCCCAGGCCACGCTGCAGGCAGAGCACGTGAGTCCTGAGCTGTGGAAAGGCAGGCGCTTGTCTTATGGGTGATTGTCACTTTTGTGATGCTCCTGACAGGAGGAGTTACAGTAGCATCCAGCACATCTGACAGCCAGCTGCGGCTGGGTACCATCGGGTCTTCTCTGCCCAGCTGTGGCTGGCAGAGTGGAAGGGACAGTCTGCCCCCTTTTTAATATTATGTTACCTCCAGATAAGAAAATGCCACATTCTCACTTAATAGCTGGTCTGGTAGCTGATAAATTTCTTCCTCTTGCTGCACACATCCTAGTTCCACGCCAAGGAAGACAGAAAGGGCTGGCTGCGTGCCCCCATCTGCCCTTGTCAGCTCCCACGTTCTCAGAGGCCTTTCCAAAGGCAGCTGCGAGTCACTTCTTAAGCCCTGTGCCTGTCGCTACGGCAGGTCTACACTCCATGCTAGAAACACCAGCCTGATACTTGGACTGGGGAGGCCAAGGTTATTAGGAGCAGTCCCAGCTCCTGCTGCAAGGCCACTGAGAGCTACATTCTCTCCTGGTCTGTGCCCATCATTGCAACAGCTGGGGCTCCTGGCCCAGATTCTCTGGCCTAGACTCTTGCCTCTGGGCATTAGCAACAGAGGGAGGGGCAGAGAAGCCAAGGCACTAGACAGTGAAACCGTAGCCAGTCTGTAGGGCTGGCAGAGCCAGGGCTCAGGCATGTCTGCAGGCTCTGCGAGTCCTCCCTTCTGTCATGATGCCCGAGGCTCCTGGGTAACCATCAGGAGCACAGGCCCCCAGCTGACCCCCCAGCTGCCATGCAGTGTGAGAAATAAATGTGTGTGCAGCTGCTGAAATTTCAAGGATGTCTGTTCCCACAGCGTCTCTCAGCCTGTCCTCGTGGATACACCCTTAGACAGTAAGATGGGGTGTCTTTATAACTGACCGGCACAGAGAGCAGTGAGAGCCACCCTTCATCAGTCCCAAGGGGACCCGAAAAGACTTGAGATGAGTGTGGAGGGAAAGGACATGGGTTTTCTTCAACTCCATGGAGGAAAATCTTAACGGATGAAGCAGCAGCCCGCCAGCCCTCCTGCCTGTCTGATGTTCCCTGTCTCAGAACAATGCCATTTGGTTGTCAGTTGGGCTAGAGAAGGAAGGCCCTACAGCATGGCTGGTGGAGGTGAGTGGAATTGACTGTGTCTGGTCTTGGCCGGCTGGGCTTCTTGCTTTCACAGTGGGAGTCGATGGATTGGTATTGATCTGTGGTGTTTGCAACCAGCTCTTCAGTCATGGCAACCCAGCCACAAGCCCCAGGCACCCCTGTGTTCACTCAGCAGCTTCTGTGTGTCCTCAGATGCGCTGGCTCACCTCTCTGTGCTTCCTTTTACCCACTGATACAGCAGGAGCTCAAACACTGTCTGCCCGGGGGACTCACGTGAGGAAGAACGAGTGGGGATGATGGTGCAGTGACTGGCAGGTGTGAAGTCCTCAGCATGGCATCCTGTGCTGCAGGGAGGGGACCAATGGGCCCCAGAAGGTGGGACAGGAGGACCTGGCTGCCTGTACCTCCTCCCAGAGCCCTTCTTTTCCCCTGCCTTTCTGTGCCTGGTCTCCTTCTTGCCTCACTTTCTCAAGTCTCCTGCCTGTGTTCTTCACCTCACCTTGAACTTGATCCCAGAAGATAAAAACGGCCCCAGGTCCTATGGAACAGGGGGAGCAAGGCAGGCACAGTCTGTGGGGCTGCTCTGAGTTCCTGATCCACTGCCCTCCTGCGTGCGGTTCAGAGCCTGGTCTCCTCCATGGTTGGTGAAAAAACAGACTGAACCAGGTCAGGAGGCCAACAGCACCCTTCCCACAGCCTGTCTGGCTTCTGTGGTCCACCCACCCCTCAGCGTTGCCCAGCTCACCTTCATGAGGTCCCGATGGTGTTCCAACACGCTGCAGGTCGTCTGCCAGGTGTCCTGATAGCACTCCCATGGGTCCACCCTGACAGAATCGGAAAGAGGTTGGTTTCCCTTGGTTTCCAGTCTCTCACTCTTTTCTTATTGGTTCCCTCCAAAGACCACAGCTCAGGGGGCTTAGCAGACCTGGTCATACTGTGTAGTTAGATCTCAAATCAGATACAACATGGGCTTGAAACGCCTCTCTCAGCCTCAGTTTCCCCTCTGTAAAAGGAGAGGTGTGTGGCATGGGTTGACAGAGATCTTGACACTAGTCTTCTCAGGTTGAGCCCCAGCCGCAGAGCTTCCCACTGCAGGGGCCTTAGGGAAGTTATGTGACCTCTCAGTGCTCACTTTCCCCATCTGTAAAATGGGACTAATTGCAGTGACTCTCTTGTGGGGAGATTAGAAGGGCTCGATTAGTGTTAGATGGAAAGTGCTTAGTAGAGAGTCTTGCTTGTATCCTTACCTGCAAAATGGGAATTCTCCTTGGGACCTTATAGGATTGTGAGAGCCAAGCCCTCACCAGGTGGTGGCTGCAGTTACGTGAGTTGGTGAATCTGCCCCAGTCTACCGCCCTGCACAGAGGGGTGCCTTGTGGGCACGGAGGTGGGCCTGGCAGTCAGACTGGGAGGCGCAGACCGGCAGGCTGGCCTACCCTTCCTGCACACCAGGATGAGAGTAGGAAGGCTCCAGCCCAGACTGATGCATCACTCGGCCTTAATTACACACTTAATGAGCTGCTAAATTGGGATATTTCTCAACATTTTCTTAGCAGTTGAGCATTCCCCATCTACCTCCTACCACGCACACACCTAAGGGTTTCAGAGAGGTGATCTCACTAGCTGAAAACTCTTAGAGAGTCAGCCAGCCCTGAGCCTGGCTCCCCCCAGATCCCTGCCCAGCCCTCCCCCGAGACGGACAGACACCCCATCTAGCTAAACAGGCTCCCCATGTCCAGGGGCCCTGCTGCACCCAGCCCCCATCTCTAGAGCTATCTCTGAGCCTCCCTTGTGATCTCAGCTCAGAATTCTGACTTTCCCAGTGCCTAGAGCGGTGCGGGACAGGCCGTAAGTGCTCGATCAATATTTATTGAATGAATGAGGGAATTAGTTTAGAATCTCATCACATCCACGCAGTAACAGCCTGCTGCCCCGTATTTTCCCCACTGGACCCCGTTTCCCCAGCAGACAACGAGTTGCGATGTTAAGAGGCTTCATTTCTATTCTGGACTTAACCACAGATGTGCTGTTCGCCCTCAAGCCCCTTGACATCTCTGGGCCTCACCTGAGGAAAGGTAGCTGCCTCTCCACCTAACCTCTATCTTGGGGGAAGGAGAAAGTCTACAAGAGCATGTGCTTCTCACACAAATCACTGCACACTGGCAAGGATCGATGTTTAATTATCATTGCTGCCTCCCTTCACTGCTCTCATTTTGGCCCACCCCACCTTCTCCCCTAACTCTCTGCGCCCCTCATTCTGAGGTCAGCTTTCCTTCGTTTCCCGCCTTTCATGGGAACCTCTGGGTGCTGCTTGTTTTCCCGGGGTGGGGTGGGGGGGAATTAAAGTACAAATGATGTGCAATTATTTTTTAGAAACGTCATCTACTCATGCAAATTACAACTGTAGGAACGTTGGGAGTGTGATTAGCATAATTAGCAGAAGGTTGCTTTAATCACAGGGCAGGCTCCGTGGGTAACGGTGTCTGCCATTTTAGCAGAATGTCCCAAGGAAAGGGAGGGGGTGCTCGCCCCCACACCTCTGTCCCACAGTCAGTGTGGGGCCCTAGGGACCGGAGTTAGGGAACAGGGAACAGCCAAGGCCAGGGAACTTTCCCTGGAAGTAAGGATGGAAGTAGGGAGGCATTTGGGATTTTCTGGTCATGCCTCACCCCAAACCCAAAGATGTTTTTTGGAAGCTCCAAGAATATTCCTGAATCCAAAAGTGTCAGAGCAGATGAAACGCTGGAGACACCCTCTTTAGTTTCATGGGCCCCAGAGCTTGGTTAAAAATTAAGTTACCAGTTGGGCCACCCCTGAAAGTCTACGTAACAATCGCTTGCATGGGGCTGTTAAGAAACAGACAAGAGGCCCCAAATGGAGTCACTTGCGCTAAGCTCATATCATCAAACCAAGACTTAATACCTAACTTAACAGCACTTTCAGCCTCTCCCAGGATGGTAATCTTAACCAGTAAACCAGGAATTTCCTGGTCAGCACTAGTGAGGAGCTTCACCGATAGCCTCCTTCTGCCCCTGCAGGTAGGCTACCTAAGCCTGAAGCAATCCACTCTTTCCCTCCTGCCTATAAAAGCCTTCCATTCTGTGCAGCTCCTTGGAGCTCCTTTCTATTTGCTAGATGGGATGCTGCCTGATTCCTGAATCTTCGAATAAAGCCAATTTGATCTTCAAATCTACTCAGATGAATTTCGTATTTAACGAGGTTGCTATCTCCCCTGGCCTTCCCACCCCTGCCTGGACCCACCCTCTTTCTCTACCCACCCCTGGGCAGTCCCAGGGCCACCTGCCTCTGGCATTGTCAGACCAGCCCTACCTGATCCAATCGGAGTTCTGGACGGCTAGCTGACACATGATGAGACGATGCCGGCTCGACACAAGGCCCTGAGAAGCAACAGAGCAACCATGGGGACATCCGCCTGCTCCCCACCGCCTCCCCGACACACCACCCCAGGCCAGCCCATTACAAAAGTGTAGCCGTTTTTCAGTGGTGACAGGGAACGAGGGTGTGCCCCCTTTACTTGTCCGAAGAGAAATAAAAAGAATGAAGGGCGGGTGGGGTAGACCACCCACAACAGGGCCTGCAGGTGAGCCCCGACCCCAATGAACCAGCCAGGGTGCCCAGCACAGAGGTGAGGCTCAACTTGGCAGATGTTGCCTTGTCTCATGGCTCAATCTGGCACTTAGGTGGCCTCCCCTGGAGCCCACCACGTTGTATGGGGGTGGAAGGGAATGGCTCCTAGATTTTCTGAGACACGTGGCAGGGAGGGAGGGGCACGGAAATGAATTTTAAATCAGATTATAAAAGGTATAAGCCTTTTTTTTTTTCCCTCCTAAAATCCCAGGAGAGACTTGCCAAGCCCATAACCAGCCTCTCATTCGGCATCCATGCCGAGTCACACTTGGCCCTCAGCTGGTGTGCCGGCTTCTCTCCTAATGAGCCTGGACTGAGCCTGGCGCTGCGAGCAGCTGTTCCTCCCAGCTGCCGTCCAACAGCAGCCGCTCAGTCTGACCGTGGCCCAGAGATGGGAAGCAGGATGCCTGCTACCAGGGATCACAGCAGAAATGGCAGAGGGGCAGTTTGATACCTGAGGAGCCATCGGGTCGGGAAGGGAGGGTGAGGGAGGAAAGGGGCGAAGGAGGAGCCCACCTGCTTTCCATAGGAGTCGTGGACAGGAGAGACGATCCCGCCAATCACAATGAACCTTCCAGTTTTGTGCAGATAATCTCTGGCTCTTTCTAATTAAGAGAAGAAAACCGCACATTATAAAGAGGAAAGGTGTGGATTAAAGGTGATCGTTGAAATCAATGCCTTCAGCTCTAGAAGGCTTATTTCCTATCTTTCTTGCCATTTAAATAGATAGTGCTAACTTTCAAAGCAAAAGTTGGGGATTCAAAAGGTTATGGAACCAGATTTCAGCCTCCAAACCTAAAGGATTTTGAACTCAAGGGGTTTAATTCCGTTTTAAAGGTCCTCTACTAGATGAGCCAGTGTAGTTCAGAGGGATTTAAAACAAGCCCTTCACTAAAAGCCTCTAGAGCAACAGACTGAAATTAACCCTACAATCACTTGCAGAAATTCTAAAGTGCAGGGGTAATTTTTTTTTTTTTTTAGAAAGAAGCAGCCTTCTTACATTATGAAAGGTGAGCTGATTGCCTCATCTAGTGACTCAGAAGAGAAAACCCACCAAAACAAAGTTAAAGAGCCTTCTGCATAATTAGGGAGAATTAACAGTCAGATCAAAAAACCACCATCACAGTTAATTGAGGGAAGTTCAGCCAGAGAAAAGGTTTTTTTCCTTAGGAAGGAATTTGTGATGTTGCCTTTTCAGATTGGCCAGCCATGCCCAACTTCATTTTCACGAGAAAATTCAATCACCTAAGAAGCAGATGAAAATGTTGGTTCTTTTACTTCTAAGGGGGTTCGCTGAACAACTCCAACAGGGGCTGAGCTTGTGCAGCTGAGGAAACGAGGCGTGGGTTTCCTTGGCAGGTGAGGGACCCTGCAAGCGAGCATGGGCTTGGGTAGCAAGGTTGGCTGTGTAGCCTACAAGCAAGGCTCCAGGGTGACCCTGCTGGCACTCTTAAAACTTAAAAAATTCTCATCACATTTGCCTTTTTTTTTCTTTTAATGGAAAATCTCTTAGATTTTTTAAAAACATAATTATTTTCTTAGCATGGTTTTAGATTTATAAAATATTTGAGCAGATAGTATATAGAGTTCTATATATTCAGTCCCTCACTTTTTTATCTACCTCCCCCCCCACCCACACACACCATTTCCCCTATTTTATTATTATTATCTTGCATTACTGTGGTACATTTGTTACACTTCATGTGTTCATACTGACACATTGTTATTTATAGGCCACAGTTTACATTAGGATTCACTCTCTGTGTTGTGAAGTTCTATGGTACAGTAGACCTCCTCCAACTAATTCGCTCGAGGGGCTCACAGAACTCAGGAGATCCACTTATTCACGAGATTACCGATTTATTGCAAAGGATTTTAAGGCTAACAATCAACAGCCAGATGAAGAGGCACGCAGGTCGAGGTCCCAAACAAGGGAACTTCTGCCCTTGCTGAACCTAGAGTAGCAGAGGCAATTTCTTCCTTCCCCACAATAAAAACTCAGAAAACTAGGGATAGAAGGGCACTTCCTCAGAGTGATAAAGAACACCCATAAAAACCTGCAGCAAACATCATACTTTACAGAGAAAGACTAAATGCTTTCTTCCTGAGATCAGGAACTAGGCAGGGACGTCTGCTCTCATCACAGCTATTCAACATAGTACCAGAAGTTCTAGCTAGTGCAATAAAGCAAGAAAAGGAAATAAAAGACACAGAAATCTAAAACAACAACAACAACACAACAAAACTATCTATTTGCATATAGCATGAACATTTACTTACAAATCCCAAAAAATCTATAAGGAAACTCCTAGAACTAATAAGTGAGTTCAGTAAGTTCATAAGATACAAGATCAACATAAGAAAAGTAATTACAAAAACATGTGGAAACTGAAATTAAAAATACAAGACCACTTTTAACCACTTGAATAAATGAATACTTAGGTATAAACATAATAAAATATACACAGAACTTGTACATTAAAAACCGTAAAATTCTGATAACAGAAATCAAAGATCTAAATAAATGTAGAGACATACTGTGCTTATGGATTAGAAGACTCAACACTGTAAAGATATTAATTCACCCCAAACTGGTATAAAAATTAATGCACATCTTATCCAAATTCCAGAAAGAATTTTTGGTGTAAAATAATTCTAAAATTTTATGGAAAGGTAAAGGAACTAGATTAGTTAAAACCTTTTTGGGAGAGAAAAATAAAAGAAGTGGGAAAATCAATCTATCCTAATTTTAAACCTCACTTTATAGCTACAGTAATCAAGACTGTGAGGTATTGGCAGAGAGATAGATCAATGAAATACAATAGAGAGTCTAGAAATAGCCCCACAGAAATATGGCCAACTGAATTTTGACAAAGGTGCAAAAACATCTCAATGAAGAGAGTAAAGACACGTGCAACAATTGGGGTGAATCTGCAGTTCATCATGTTGAGTGGAAAAAAGCCAATCTTAAAAGGTGACATGTGTATGATTCTATTTATATAACATTCTGAGAAATTATATAGATTAGTGGTTGTCAAGAGTTAGGGAGGGGAGTGGGGGCAGGGAAGGGAGGTGGGTGTGGCTATAAAGCTGTAGCTGCAGGGAGATCTTTGTGGTGATGGACTAGTTCTGTATCTTCACTGTGTTGGTTACATGAATCTACACATGTGATGCAATGACATACAACTATACATACACATGCCACTGTCAATTTCTTCATTTTGATATTATGCTATAGTTACGTAAAATGTAACCATTGGGGAAAACTCAGTGAGGGCACATGGGATCTCTCTGTACTCTCTTTGCAACTCTCTATGAATCTATAATTATTTCAAAATAAAACATGTTTTAAAGTTTAAACTATGAAATACTGTGCAATTTTAAGGGAGTAGTGTGCAAATCCAGGCAAATGGACAGCAAATTAACTGGTGGGGTTGGATGCTTCTGGAAATTTACCTGTGCTCATCCCTTTCTATTTTTGCTGCTCTCTGGATCCCAAGATTGTGGGTTGTGATGGCTTGAGAGGTGTTGTCCAAAGCAGAGCCTGTCAAACTTTGATGTGCACATAAATTTTCTGGGGATCTTGTTAGAATGTCAGTTCTAATAGTGTGGGTGGGGCCTGAGATCCGGGCCAGGATTAGGGTGAGGTGAGAGAGGCAGGATCTGTCAAGTGCAGGGTCAGATCCTGTCTTCATTTAAAAGTATGCTATTTTGTTCATCATGGATTTTTTTGCATGAATTTTGATTTTTAAAAATATTCTTATTTATCTTGATTACAGGGCTTTGGGATGCCCTCTTGAATTTTGCAGTGGAGGGGGCCAGCCTCCTTGGCCTCACCCTACCCCTTGCCCTGCCTGAGATTCATCATTTCTAACAAGCTCCCAAATGAGACCAATGCTGCAGGCCTATGGGCTATATTTTGAATAATAAGGGACTAAAGACAAGTGGGACAGCCCCTGCAATGTCAGGGGCTCTCCTCCCTCTTCCACTGCACCACCACCTCCACTTTGCACGACAAGGGCATTTCTGGACATTGGCAGGTAGCCCACTGGCAAGGCTATAGCTACAGCCCTGGAATTTAATTTCATGCCAGGCTTCCCAAGATGTGGTCTATTTTTGTCTATCAGCTCTGCCCCAGGGACTGAGCCAAATCACTCTAACATTTTACACTCAGGCCCAACCCGCCCTCCATTTGGTCTCCCTTCCTGGCTCCACTTCTCATGGAGGAGGAGCCCAAGGTGGTCAGCAGCACTGCCGAGTCCTGCCCTCAATGCCCTGAGGATCCACTGTGTCCCGGTCCTCATTCCAGGCCACTTGGAACCAGGCGAATCTCCCTTCCTGACAGCCTGGGTGGACCCACCAGCCAAGATGGACACAACACAGAAGCTCTGTCCATTAATAATAATTCATGAGACAGACATGCCTCGCCTGCCTCCAGGCTGCTCAGTGAACCCGGCTGATGTGTCATCTCCTCTCCTCTTTCAGGGAGTTCATGGAGGAAACACTGGGGTCAGGGCATCGATATTTATTCAATTTCTCCTTTTCAGCTGCAATTAGAAATGATCCCTTCTGGGTTGTATTCACAGCTGGAGCTGCCTGAATGCTCCCTGTTTGAGAGTTTCATAAAGGTGGCCCAGATTTGTAAACATTCTGAGTATTAGGAAGATCAAGCCAGGGGTGATAAAGGCAGACACCGAAGGGGTTCAGAAAAAGCCTCCCTAAGGCTTTGCCACTTTGACATGGATTATTTTTGAGCTGAAGGCAGTCGAGACCCTGAGGGCTCACAGGAAAATCTTACCTGTGCCTTAAAGAAATTAAACTGGGACCTTACCCACAATAAGAGTTATTATCAGAAGTACCTTTATGACCTAGCTATAGAGCAGGGAAAACTTCTAATTACTAAATCTCTGCTCTTATCGCCCTAAGAACGACCTTCCTCCCCTCTGAAGCCCCAAGGCGCCTGAGCTCACCCTGAGCTCCGAGTGTTACATACTATACCTCATACCTTTCTGTCTCTGAACTTCCCATGTCTGTGGAGTCTCTGACTCCCCTCTGTATATGAGGTTCTTGAAAGTATGCATATAATTAAACTTGGCTATTTTCTCTTGTTAATCGTCTCATGTAGATTTAATTATTAGACCAGCTGACAGAACCTGGAAGAGTAGATAAAAATCTCTTCCTCCCCCACCAAACCAAATTGTGAGTCCTTATAGTCAGGATTATTTCTGCTCAGGGATCCAAAAAAAAAATTTTTTTTTTAAGAAACCATCCCTGTGGCCTACCAAACTGAGATTTGAGCATTCCCTAACAAAAATTCAAAGAGTGTTTATTACGTTCAAGTCTCTGTACCAGGTGCCACAGGGGACAGAGATGAGTGAAAGACACAATTCCCACCTCCAAGGAGCTTAGGTTTTCGATGCAGGGACACGGCATCCTCTGCTCTGATAATTGATACCAAAATGAACAGCAGAGGCATGAAGTCTTATAGGACATCAGGGGAGGGAGTGATCCCAATGGAAGGGGGTGGCCTGGGACACTTCCCCAGACCATGAGACTTGAACTGGGTCCTGAAAGCAGAGAAATGTGTATTAACCATGTATTTTTA